TTGAAGTAGCAATGCACTATCCAATATTTAGTATTTCAGATCGAAAGTTTCCAATTAAAACATCCAACGACTTGAAGTATATCGAAAAGGATCGACAGACGGTCTCAAGAAAAAGGATCATACAAAATTCAGTAACTCCAGTAAGAAAATAATTGGAAACTTCAGAGAAGTTGATGGAGTGGTTACTCTTCAAGTTTAAATCATCTTCCTTTTGCTAATATAAAATCTTGCAAAACATTAGCTGGTGGATGAATATGGGCATATTTCATACTCTGAATGTAGGCATGTCAATTAGCACCCACTCGATCGCCCTTTTTGTTCTCCGTAGTTATCCAAATTTTTTCTTTAATAAAACTTTTTACTTTAACCTTTTATTGTTATTTCAAGAGTAATCATAAACGAGTTTTATCAAATTTGTCAATAATATCTTTGAACCATATGAAATAAGTTCTCATGTTACTTCATTCATTTGAAAATAAGAGGTTTAGAAAAGATTGAAAACTTAATAATTCAAGAAACCAATTATATATTTGCATAAGAAATTTACTTCTTACTCTTCTTAATAGTTCGAAGGACTGTCTACAAGAACCATTAAAGACTTTCAATCTTTTCTAAATCTCTAATTTCGTAATCAGTAAAGGAATGATTTGGCGTAAGTCATGTTAGAAAAATTCCAAAAAAGGTAAAATATTACTTTTAGCTGACACTGTATTGATTTATATAAATCTGATCATATTTAATAATATGCCTTTACTAACGCAAGTGACAATTTAATATCCGTTTATTGCAATTATTCAACTGTATCTCTTCACAAAAAGTCTGCTTACATTAAGCAGATATTTACTTTCAAAAAAAGAGAAATTTTCATCTTTTCTAATCAGAATTAAGTCTTAATCAATTTTTAAGATATTTATGATTTAATTTTCACTCTATTCTTCACTTTCTTTTCTCTTATCTATTCTTCCGGATTTTTTTCATGAAATATATATAGCGATGAAATTTTTTATCTAAAGAAACGCTGAAGAGTAATTTTATGGCTCTCTCACGGATACAGCATTTTATCAATATTTTGACAAAGCAATCTGTAATCGAAGCTGCGTCTCTTTAGAAATTTGTCAAACAAATTATATCGTAAAGCAGCAAATTTAAATATACCATTTCTTGTTTTTTATTTCTGCTTTACATCATTGGGCATTTCAAGCAAACTCTTCATATTTATAACGGATATGACTTTTTTTAAACCAAATATATGGTAATTACTGATGTCAAACAAAAAAAAAAATTTGATTTATAATAAACAATAAGTTGAAGTTATTTATTTGCAAATATTTCTATTTATGTATATGCCAATCGAAAAGCACTTTATGACTGAAATTTTTGCGATGCTAAAAATTTTGCAAACCATTTAGGTCTTAAAAACCGAAATCATTCTTTTCGCTTTTCAATTCTATGATCGTTCAGAAGTTTCATCTTTCTCTATTTATTATCTTCCAAACCTCACATTTTTAAATTTTCTTTTGCATGATAAATTGATCTGCCAGTTATGGTTACATCAACGGAAATGAAGGATCAGTTTGCATTTTAATTACTTTTAATCATAGTTTTCATAGCATGGAAATAAATAAATGGTAATTCTTTACTTTTGAAAATTTATAATGGAATGATCAGATGATGTCAAATGTAGAAAAAAAACGCGAATACTTTTCACGACGTGGTGCACTGTCACTGAGCGCACCAACTCGAAGGAAATGGTACAAGAAAGGTGTACATTTGTAATACTTAAGTCTTTTTAAAAGCCATTATTAAAGTTCACTTTTTTCTTGCTCAATCAGAATTTAAACTCTGAAAAACATGGAAATTTGCAGTACCACCAATGAATTTTCGAAATAGCACCACTGAAACAAACTACTTGGATTTGGTAAGTTAATTCTTTTTCTTAAGTGCAAAAAGGCGGATTTTTTATTCAGTACTTGAATTTTTAATTCGATAAAGAGATGGTTTAAATATATTGGTGACAACAGAATGATAATGCCCTGATAATGCTTCGATTTCGTTTTACTGTTTTTGCAATCGCAATCATTTCATTAAAATAAATCTTCTAAATTTCAATTTTTTGAGCAAAAAAATTAAATTTTCAATAAATTCTCTTCTTTTTTGCACCGCAATAAAATATTTTTGTCAAATTTTGGCTTGCATAACAAAACTAAAAAGAAAACAATTTTAAAAATAATAACATTCATATAACTAACAAAACCGATATTTGCAATGAGCATACAACGGTGAAATGATACAATCAGTTAGACAGCTATCCGACATGTTTCTAAAATCTATCACATATTGAACAAAGCCTTCTTATCCCTTACACATTTCGGCACTTCTTTATAACTATCCTTAATTATTAAATTCATTAAATCATAATGTTTTTGAAGTCCAACTCTTTATGTATCATAAGAATTCAAATAATTGAATGATGATTGGAATTGAATTATATTTAAACAGAAAAACGGTATGTAGAAATTTTAAATTAGAATTTATTCACAAATTTTCACATATCATTATCCTATTTAAATATAATTCAATTCCAATCATCATTTAATTATTTAAATTGTTATGGTACATAAAGGATTGCGTCTCAAATTCATTATATGGAATAGAATTGCAGAGTATGAGTAGAATTTCAAATCAATTGATTGGTGCAGTAGCAACTTGGCATGATATTCATACAAGCTTAATGAAAGTTGGCCTTTCAAGTGATAATGTATCATCGGATGAAGTGACAAAAGCGCCATTCAATTCATCCAGTTCAGCAAGTAGCAGCTATTCCACTGATTCACTCATCAGCTTTATCGGCAATGATTGTATGTCGAAGGATTTTCAAAATTTCATTTAGTGAATTCGAAACAGATTACATAAAAATTTCAATACTTATTTACATCACTCAAATTGCTAATAATCCTTGATGATGATAAAATAAATCTATTTAAAAAATGTATTGCAGCATTGAGTGGAAATCAATCGAGCGATGAAAATTTGGATGATGAAAAATTATTCAATTATCACTCGCGATTATCCATTTCAAATATGGAACTTCGAAATTCACAGCTGAAAGAAATATTTCCCCGATTATCGGAACATTGGAGGTGTTTTTTTTTTTTAAATTGCAACCTTTTTCTTTTCCTCAATTTCATAATTTTCCATCAAAACTTTGACAGCCGACAAAAGTGGATGTAACGGTATCACATCGGACTTTGGCAGAAACATATAATTGTTGCTAAAAAAATATTTATTTTATAATTACGAAAGGACAAATCCTTTAATAGAATTTCAAACAATATTTTTCATCATTATATCGTTCTGGAAAGAATAAATAATTATCATTGAGCAAATAAAATTAAACAAGCATATGAACTGATTGCCAATCAATATCGGCTATTCCAAAAACTTCTCAAAACATTACTGATTAATAATTTTCTGTGTAATCCCTCAAAATCAGAAACAATTAAAGTTTTTATGATTGATTGCAATTTCATAGCAAACTGATATCGTTTATTCCATCCAAAAAAAAACAGTAAAACATTTTATCTTTACTTTTTACTCATCACTTATCGTCCATTACTCATTTTTATCCGCTATTCACAATGCGCAATAATCCTCTAATCGCTTGCTCGAAAACTTTGTCAAAACATCAAAAAATTACAAGTCTAATGAGATCATACAAATTCTTACGATTTCACGAAAAAGGGAAAAGTTCCGTGAATTTTCACCTAATTCTATATTATCAGTGGAATTCAAATTTAATCAAAAAGTTTTGCACCCAATGTGTAATGCTATTGCATTAAGTTAATCTAATTCCAAACGGATTGATTGTTATTTTATTTTTGAAAAAATAAAAATCCCGGTTTTTAATTTTATTTATTCCGACAGAAAATTCACTGATGGGATTGAATTTGTTTGATATGTAAAAGGACAAGAAATGGAAAAGAGAACTGAACGGAAAGTGCAATTTCATCCACAAACTGAACTTTTCTTTCGGTTTGTGATTAGCCAACTTTTCACATGTCTCAAATTTCATTTCGAGATACTTTTTGGAAAAATAATGGGAGTAGATTTCACTATATTAAATGTTAGAGAGAATTAATTGAAATTTTAGGCTTCCATTTTAATTTAATTGCCATTACAAATTTAGATAAAACAATTAAAAATGAAATCCTATAAACGGACGATAAAGTGCCACAGACAGAAAAATTTTTGAACTTTGATAAAATGAAAGTAATCATTGTTAGTTATAAGTACAACTTCAGAATATTTCTTTCATTAGATTTATAAGGAAAATTTGGTATGCAAATTAGTGTAACAAATTTATTTCCACTTCATTTATATTCTTCACGTCATTTCAAACATCACCAGTCATTGCAATTAATTTTTGCCGCTGGCAATACAAATATTAATTGTGCTGATTGGTGAAGCAGACGGATGAATGCAGTTAGATCGTCTTCCCCCACCAATTAAGCAATCAGGTAAAAAGCTTATTATACATGTTTATACAATAAATAACCAGAATGAAATTATCTAATTAAGTACAAATAGAGTTTAATTTAGAGAAATACAAAATTATGCAAAAACAAAACAGATAAGGACAGGGATAAAATGACATATGATAAGGTAGTGGGGATGGAATAGAGGAAGATAAGATGAACGGTATGTGGCTGTCAACTGGCACTGTTCCATCCACTTCTCTGTCACCCACCATCCATCACTATCACCTCCATTCCCTCATTCACCACCATCACCAGCACCACACGTCCATCTGTGGTTGCATACAACAGCTTCTCTAATCTGCACTATTCCATTCCTGTGCTGTCATCACGCCACATCACGCGCCATGCCATCCTATCGTCGTTGCCTGTCGGCAGCGTCTCGACACGCCCACGCCTCTTGCCCGGTACACAACTCGTACTGCACCCATTCAGTACTGCTACTTCCCTACCTCTCTGATCTCTTCATATTCCTCCCTTCTACATTGAATAGAAGACAATCTTTGCTTGCCATTCCCGCACGTTTAACCTTTATCCTTCGGCAGTTAGCATTTTTTGGCTGTTGCTATCATTCCCATTCCAAACATTCATTTCATTTATTTTGAAAACCGGAAAACTTTCAATATTGTTAGTGTATTTTTCGTATTTCTTTTTTTTCTGATTTCGATGAATTATTTGACTAAAGGAGAAAAAAAAAAAGATCTTTTATCAATATTATTTGATTGGGAGCTAATCTTTTGTATCACAAATTTGATGACATATTTTCCGTGATGATGACAGATTGCTAATTGATCTATATTTGTTAAATCTGTACCGCTCGATCGATTATACCAGAAATTAATTGATCAGGGATGGAAGAACGTCGATATTCTATGCCTTACGCCATTTCGACATATTTCAGCTCATACTTCAAGTGGAATTTTTAAAGATAAAGTAACAAAACTAATAGTTCCTCCATGATAAATCATTCCGCGAGAAATAATTTGCAAATTATTGGAAAATCAAAATCCTTAGATTCATCCAACAAATTAACTCTTTCACGGACTTGTTTCTCCATCGATCATTCCGATAATTTATTACCATCTAACACACAAAAGAAACCAATGCTAATTCGTGCTGAAACAATTGATTTACCTGATACCTTTGAAAGTTCCGATAATTGCGCTGTAAATGCAAATTCACGGATGAAACATGACGTACGACCTCATTTACTTGTTTCATTTTTTGCGAAGCATTTCGAAAAAATGCACAAAAGGATGACGAAAAGACCATTAGGCTCATCACTGTCCTTTGACCTCGATGAACGTCAGCGAATGAATGCTTTACAACATAGACGTGATTCACAGGATAAAGGTATCATCCCATTACCTGCTACTGTCAAATTGCATGTTCGCTTGAATTGCTTTCACTGTCTCTTTGACGCATCGTTACGTGAACGTAAACTTAACAAGCTGGAGAATGGAATTCGATTACGGTCTAGTTCCGATACTTCAGATGCACATTATACCAATTCCAGACAACATAGTTCTCAAAAGTTTAATACCAATTGCAAAGCATCATATCACGGCAGCATTCACATCACCAATAAGTAAAGTTTGATTCTTTCAATTTTTTTGTTTACTGATTACTTTAGATTATTCGAGACCTTCTGCTAAGGTTCAATGTCATCAGGGAGAAAATTCGAACAAGCTTGTCGAGAAAACGTGGGAAAATAAAAAGAGGATAGAAATAATTTTTTGTATGCCTCAATGATTATATTTTCTACTTCATCTTTACTAATCACAAGACAGCAATGTTTTTTTGATGATCACGAATTACCTATCACAACTTATTAAAGTTAAAATTAACAAGTCTTTAATTTTGATTCGATTCACTGAATTAAAATTAGACTTGAATTATTCCTTATTTTTTGAATTTGGACTTGAATTATTTCTTAATTTAATTTCTAATATGTGATAACACTGTGTTCGTACTGAAATTGTGAGTAAATTTTATTTTACAAATTGAAAATCATTGTTTTGCATGTTTGTAGTGATTATCAAATGTCAACAACTTTTCACTTAATTTTTGCAACAACCGCACAATAGAATTATTTTCTTTCTTTTTTTTTTATTGAAATTAGTTAGCAAAATGATAAGTTCCTTACTAATTTATTCAAAAAAGGACCTGCGCAATTTGCTTCTTCATAGTCCTGCTATGAAGACTATATTCAGAGATATTTTTGAAGTTTTCTTTTTTTCATGAAAGCCATATTATAAACAAAGTTTAGCAAAACTCCTTTGCTATATCTATTTTTTTTCTCATCATGTTTTCACTAATTTAAGTTTAAAATTCTTTCATTTTACCTTTTGTTAATTTAAATTGGAATTGCTGCAATTAATTTTTTATAACTAAATCACGATTCAGATGTAATAGAAAATACATGGAAGTCTTATGAATTTTTTTTCAGTTAAAAAAAAAATCGTACTTAATGTCGATTTTGCTGTCTTCTATTTCTGAGAAATTTTTGCGATACAGCTGAAAAATTTATTATAATTTTGATTTTTTTTTCTTTTTGAAAAAATACCGTTAATTTTATTGGTACATTCATTTTGCTGAACAGTTATTTGTTACAAAATAAGAAAAAAGGAAGATTTTTGAGATGTGATTCATCATTTCTAGTTTTATTCTAACATTTCAATGTTTTTTTTTCATATTTCATCATACTTTTCTGTCACATCGATTCTTCATCTCATTCAATTTTATTTATTTTCCTTTTTGTTCTGTCATTTATTCTTCTGCTTATTTATAGTAAAAGCCATACTGTTTCAGGTTAATTTGTTTCGATTAGAACCTTTTTCCTCTATTTGTTCGTTAATTTTTAAACATTTATTGATAATTTTTTACATCGGAGAACAAAATGGCAATCATTCTTTTTCTATACTGTAATTTTTTTCATTTAATTCAACATGCTAACTTCTAACTAATGCTAACTTCCAATTCATCAATTAGCTCTGAAGAAGTGATTTATGACGTTCGAAAGATTGCCCACCAAAGACTGATCACTATTTCAAATTTCGGAGCCAAAAATCAAATGCCGACATTTTTGATCTTTGGTATTAAGAGTGAAGCAATTTTTGAACAAAAATGAAAAAGCTACACTGATCGTTAAATGTCCGTAAGCTATGATCACGATCATATTTCATTTTATGTTAAGCAGTTCGAAATGATTTTGTTATTAGAATATGAATCTGTGAGGGAGAGAGGGAGAAAGAAGCTATGATGGCGCAAATTGCAGAATGTTTTAAAATAGTGAAATTTAAAATTTAATCTGCTCAGGCAAATTACACTGCTAATAAATAGAAGAATTAAAGAAACATAATTTCGCAAATATCTCAGCGCAATGCGGTTGTATTGACGTCATAGATTGGTGCATTTATTTAAACAATGATAACAATTAGAATTGAATAAGTGGATGCTATATGAATCAAATGAATGATGAAAAAGGAAATTGTTGAGATGAAAATTTAGTAGCAAATAATGTGATAAAAAGCAAAAGCAAACATGAGGAAAAATACAAAATAAAATTTTAATTAATAAAAATGTTAATCTTGAAAAGGATTAAAAGATTAAAAATTAAACTGACAATTTTAAAAGAGAATTAGCATTCGAATAATTGCTTGAATAAAAAAATAATAAACTTCTTTGTTGAATATTTTTTCAGGTTTTTTTATTATTTTCTCGAATCAATTTATTGATATGATTAATGATAGAACCATCAACTATATTATTCATAAATAATAGTGATAATAATATTTCTACTAGCTCTTATTTTGGCTCATACGATGGCTTATTTTTTTTTTCACCAGAAAATATTGAAAAATGAGAATTTTTAAATTGAATTTCTCAAAATGAGTCAAATGTAAAGAATATGTTATCGACTGAATATATATGATGAGAAGAGTACAATCCCAGTTTGAACATTAAACCTAATAGCTTTCAATAATTTCGCTTATATGTAAAGATGAATGTAAATTTTAACAGGCATAATTTATATGTCATTTTTTTCAAATATTTTTTTGTTAATGTGGTGATTAGAATTAATTATCAAAGTAATTGAGGAGTGGCATGTTGTTAAAGCTTTGTGAAATTGACAGACCTAATCGTTAGATGTTATTCTGTTGCTATTATTTATGCAACTCTTACAATTTTAACTTCTTTAAATTTTGCTGTGAAAAAAAGGGAAAATATACATTTTATTTGCTTGACCAAAAAAAAAATTTCAAAAAGTTCAAAAAAATAAAGTTAAGTATTTGTTTATTAAGTAATTGTAAATTGAACTATATGAAATGAATGAAAGAAGCGAACAAGTCTGGTATATATTTCAATCTAATATATTTATCTGACATGTCTCGATCTAATATGTTTGCCTGGTACATCTTGATCTAATACTGGTATATCTCCCAATTTGATGTATTTGTCTTATATGTCTCTAATTTTATCTGGTATATCTCGATCTAACATCTGTTATGTCTCATTTATTTGATATCTCGATCTAATACATTTACCTCGTATATCTTAGCAGTTTAATGTATTCTAACAACTATTAATGAATGGAAATACTTTTTTCTATCATACATTTTCCTTAATTTCAATTCGTGATTCATCACTCAATTCGTGACAACAAACAGAAGATCGCATCGCTATTCTTTCGTAAATGTCTAAACGATGCAAAAGTCATCGGAACTTTTATAAAATTCAACTTCTTAACTGTTTTTATTTTAAAACATATGAAATGAGCTATAGGACTTTTAGCAACTTTCTGTGAAGCTTGCTTTTAATGATATATTCATTCTTCTTCATATGAAAAAATAAATTGTCGAAAGCTTAATTTTTTACTTCAGATAGAATTAAAATTTCTTTTCATTTCACAGTTTATTGCTTAATTATAAATTAAGACTAAGGAAAGAAATGAATCATTTTATTAATTCAACATGATGTAAAACTATTGTAGAATTGATAAAACATATTGTTGCCAATTTCTGCATTTGCTAATAATGTTGTGCAATTCTCTCTATTCATAATATCCGTGGAGATATTTTTGAATTCATTAGAATTTATTTCAAATATTTTAGTCATTCGTTCAATCTTTAAATAACACATTAATAACATTTATCACATCCAATGGTCACTATTTTTTTTTTTTTTTAAATCTAATCCTAATGAGTTAGCGGAAAGAGCCAGTCATATAGTTTTCAATTCATTAAAAGATTCTTAAAAATACACTTCAAGATTTTCCATCATCCATACTGACAGTGTCATCGTACATCATTCAGATTAATGATATTGCAAAGTTGAAAAGTTTTATTGAAAATTCAAAAATTATCATTTTTCTAAAAGAATGTTTTGCTTTATTACAAAGAGAATTTATATTTCTTTCAAAAATTTTAACCCTAAAGATGAGTAATGATGATAATCCAATCAATTTGGTACAGGCGTGCATTAGCTAAATCAGTGATAGCTAGACGAATGATGGATGGTCACTCATCTCAGTTGTATGGTAGCGCAACAGCATTGTATAAGCATCGTACAAAGAATTATTGGTTCGATCTTAAGGTTAGGAGTTATTAAGTTATGAATGGGTGCAGGTATGATTAGCAGCTAATCACACTAATATTTCGTATGAATATTTCAGGTAACTATAAATAAGACTTTTCAGTTGAAACTGTTTAGAAACACGAGTAACGAATACATTCTTTAATTATCGCTAAAACTAATTAAAAAAAATGTATAATAAGCCATAATATTGAAAATAATGGCGAAACATTCGAAATTAATATATTGCACAAAATATATCAATTTTCTTAATGTTATTATTACTTGATTTTTGGTATTGAATGAGAGAATAAAAATGTTACATTGAAATATATCATTTCAGATTCATCCCGACGAACATATTTGGGTACCATCGTCAGGACCAAATACCATGACAAGCAGTTCACGTGATACCGAGTGTTATGTTGGTTAGTGAACTGATATAAGTTTCCAAGGAGGCTCATGATATTAACATTAAATTGTCCCATATAATTAATAATGTTGTTGTTATGGACGAGATACCATTTCATTGTCTGCTTTTAGATTAATTAGAGGAAATTATTTCAAATGAGAAACATGTTCCTAAGCAACTGTAATGAGTTCCACAAATTAATCACCTAATATTTTATAGGTGAACGAGATTGTCGGAAAATTGGGGAAAAGCGAAGTTGTGCTGCATGTCATATTGTAGTACATACAGCATGCTTGCCAGTTTTACGACAGGTTAATTTTCGGCATTCATCTCCACCAAATTCATCTATTGTTTTACACTGACCATTTAGAAAAAAAAGGAAAATGTAGAAAATCGAATCACTTCTATGTGCTTGCATATTTATGTAAGAAACTTCAATTTGAATGATTCACAAAAGAAAGTATTCATTTCATTTTAGTTATATGTGAAATGTAAAATAACATATCACGAAGAAAATGCAGCAAAAAAACAAATTGCTTCAAGCAGCGGTGTTATGGAGGAATCATTAAATGGACATCATTGGGTGCATAAATGGAAACAGAAAGGACGTTGCCTACGTTGCGGAAAATCGTTTCAGCAGAAAATTTTCCATGACAAGGTAAATTTGAACTTGATAAGTAATCAATTACTATAAGTGATATAATATGTTATCATTTGTAATAAATATTTTTCATATAATGAAGGGTAAAAATCGATTTAGTGAATGACATGAATTCTTAAGTTATGATTCTGATAAAAACATTATGATGCTCGGTATGTAATTAATTGCTATGAATTGATAAAGAATGATATAATATGTTGACTAATCTTGATGGCATTTACTGTGTAAAGATTATCTACGTGATAGATGGAGAAAATTCATTTTTTTTGATGCTTTGTTTTGTAATTCAATTTAATACTAAACAAATTTTATGAAGAATTTAAATTAAATTATTAAAAAGACATCAAACTAGGATTATTTGATTAGATTATCTGATTAATTGATTGGGAATTGCGGCTAAAGATTGGAAATGAAATGATAATTATTTATATATGTCAAAAGATCCCGCTTTTTAAATTACAAAGTGATTTTCATCACATCTTGTCTCATAATGCATTTTAATGGTGAATGCATACTTACTGTTGAAGGATGTATTTAAATGTAGGAAAGAAATTTCAAAATTAGTTAATTTTTCTGGAGGAAATAGTGAAAGATAATATCTTTCAGCAAAACAGAATGGGATAATTTTCAGAGGAGTGAAAATTATCCTGTTCTATTTTGAAAAGGGAAAAATTAACTTGACAATTAATAAGAAAATAATGGAGGAGTAAATATAATTAATTACAGGAAGTAATCGCAATCACTTGTTCGTGGTGCAAACGATCATATCATAACAAAGTAGAATGTTTCTCATCACAATGTTTTGAGAAATCATGCGATCGTGGTGATTTAAAAGAAGTGATTGTGCCACCGACATGGATTCAATATTCAAATTTAATCCAAACAAGAAAAAAAAAGAAAGTTGCGAAAAGAAAGAAAGTAGGACTCATCCTGATTATGACTTAATTGTGTTGTAGATATCAAGCTTAACCATATTGATGATTTTATTTTAAAAAAAATCAATTTTTAATGCCTTCATATGATAGTGAATTTTGTTTAACTTCATGAGACATCTTATAAGTATTTTTTATTTTTCGAAATCTAACAATGCGTTTTCGTCTATTTTATTGTTATGAATAATATAAATCGTATAACAAAAATATTATTTCAGCGCAGATTGTTTAGGATACGACCCGTACCATTAGATGATGGCATGTGGCTTCCAACTCAACCACTGCTTGTATTTGTAAATCCAAAATCAGGTGGTAACAAAGGTTCGAAATTGTTACACACATTTTGCTGGCTTCTGAATCCACGTCAGGTATTCGATATTACTGCACTGAAAGGACCTGAATTTGGGTAATTCTATCAAAGCTTACTTATGTATAAGAATTGTAAGAAGAATGCAAGAATGTAATAAGAATGAGAATGTAATAAGAATATTATCGGGAATTAAGTAAGCGCTCATATGCATAAATATAATAGAAAAATCAATAATTACTCCCATTCATATATGATATTTTTTTATTCTCATTTCGAAACTTTTTCAAATATTATAGATGCTGAAAATTAATTTTTAAAAATGTACTTCAGACTTGGTATGTTTAAGAAAGTGGCATCCAGTTTGCGACTGCTCGTTTGCGGTGGTGATGGTACCGTTGGATGGATTTTAAGTGCCCTTGACAGAGTTTGCTTTACAATTTTGCAAATTTATTATGAACTGGGAATGATATAAACTTTTTAAAACAGTTTTTGATAAAATATGCACAACAAAATGATTTGGGATCCTATTATCAAGCGTGAACTTTTGACTTTCCTCCACACTTTGACCCTTCTTTGGTCTATAATATCAAGCAACATTTTTATTTACATTTTAGCACTTTCATTACATGCTAAATTCAGATGAATTGGACGAAGTATCCCCCAATTGGCATTGTTCCGCTAGGCACTGGCAACGATTTATCCAGGCATTTATTTTCCTATGCTTTTATTAATTATTTAGATTTGTCTCGCTCAGTTCAATTAATTCTGTTTACTATCATTTTTGATTAATTCAATTTATATTCAATATTCAGATGTCTTGGTTGGGGTGGTTCGTTCAGCGATGAACCATTGGCAGAACTTCTAAATGCTGTTATTTATGAAACATCTATCACATATCTCGATAGGTTACTTTTTTTTTCCGTTATTTCATCCCAAAAAGCGGAACTGAGGAATTCTCGATTGTCAAAGATTTAAATATGAGCATGAGATCAAAATAATGCGCTCATGCTGAAGTGCGTTATTTTGATCTCATACTGTGTTTCACTCATGCTGGAGAAGGATTTATTAAATTTGATTTAGCATTTATGAATTTTAAATTTTCATTTATAGATACTCTCGTATAGATAAATACAGAGAGAAATTACAGGTGGAATATAAATGTAGAAGCGAACTTGGAAATCTCAAATGTACAAGCGGATGAAATCGACAAAGCTGCTCAGAGTGTGTTAACACTAACGGTGATGAACAATTATTATAGCATTGGGGCTGACGCTCATGTAGCCTTGCAATTCCATCATTCTAGAAGTTGGTTTGAATTGCTAATTTTCAGGGGAAAGAGATGTAGCAACATTTACAGATGCAATTTCAAGAATATTTTCTTGCTAATTACTGATTTTTTGTAATGATGATCATCCTATTTGTTTGATCAAGTTTCTAAAAACTTGCATAATTCCAGGTGCAAACCCACAAATGCTAAACAGTAGGCTGAAAAATCGAATAGCATATGGTGGATTAGGTACCATTGATTTGTTCAAGCGGACATGGAAACTTCTTCATGAATATATTACACTTGAGGTGATGGATATAATAAATTATCAGCTATGGATTTACCTCTCCAAGATCGTCATCTGTTGTAAAGCATATGATTCATCTTATTTTTCTCAAATTTCTTAATCTTAAAAATTTATATTCCTTTATATGAATTTCAGTGCGATGGAATTGATTTAACTTCAAAAATTAAAGAATTCAAATTCCACTGCATATTATTCCTTAATATAACATATTATGCGGGAGGGACTGTTCCATGGAGCAACGATGATGAGGAGAAACATCGATCTTCTAGCTGTGATGGCAAACTAGAGGTTCTTGGTTTCACAACTGCTACGCTGGTATATTTTTTGAAAATCTAAATGCAGAAAAAATTTTAAAAACATACTCAGAGAAGGAGTAGGTACGGAAAACATACAGATTTCTTAAATCTCAGAATTATTAAGATTAGATTGTTTTCAATCACAACCTGCATTCATTCTTTTAAGTTTATCGCTTATCTACTTTCAATCGTCCCATACCAACTTTATTTTATTTTCAGGCTACTTTGCAAATGGGTGGCAAAGGTGAACGAATAGCGCAGTGCTCTCATGCTCGTATCACAACAAGCAAAGCAATACCAATGCAGGTTGACGGTGAACCATGTCTTCTAGCACCGAGTACCATCGAAATTACCTTTCATAGTCAGGTTAATTCAATTTTAATAGAGTATTTGAAAACATCCATTTATTCTTTTTTATTATTATCATTCTTCGTATTGCTTATTCAGTATTCGATTGTATTTCAATTCTTTCTCTTCCCTTTTCACTTTTCTGCATTCTATTTCGATCTATTATAATTTTACAGTGTATTTTCCGCTCAACTTTAAATCTTGGTATTATAGGTTCCCATGTTGCGTCGTGAAAAGAAATCAAATTATATGCCGGGAAATCTTAAGAAACAGCGAAAAATATTCAAACAGCAACGGAGTAGCAGTAACAGCCAAACACCATCAACTCCAGTTGGCTATTCATTACCTGTATTATTGGTTACTTCTATCGAATACAATGCTAATCGAGATAATCTGGAGCAGCTCAAAGAAGCTGGTATGACTCACTGATTCTAGAAGTCTTCGCAGATAGTGTTTCCTTTATGATGATCAGTGATTTTACATTTTCAAACATTTTAATAGTTGTGATATGTGAAAGCAAAATTTCAAATCTTCAAAGAGATTTGTAATTCTATTTCTTATTATTAAACTTAGTTTGATTAACTTTTGCAGATTTCTTGATTAAATTTCTTACTCCTATTCTGAATTTGAGAAATGTTTCTAACTTAAGTAGAATGCACATCGCAATAGTGAAGTGTGAATTAAGACATAGCACCATTCAAAGTTATTATTTCTTACGAAACTATATTTGATATTAACAAGTCAAAATTAATGTTATAGGAAATCTAAAATCTATAAAAAAAAATTTTTAATGTACATCGAGATAAAAAACATTCTTTGCAGCTATGGAAATTGGTGAAATTCATGTAGAAGCAGAAGCTGAGCTGGACATTGTACGACAAAGAATTGAAAAACTTATTGCCGATTACTCCAGTTCGAGTATTGAATCGAATAGCGAATGGAGATTTCTTGATTGTTAGTATTAAAAACATTGAAGGCATTCCGATCGCTAATTATGAGCAAAAATTTTCCCATTGTCTGATTTACTAATTTCCTAAAGGTGATTTATAATATCATAGTGATTCGCATTCACATTATCATGCCATTTAACAAGTTAATAAGTTAATTCATATCATTTCTTACTGTTAACTGATTCTGATGCGATGTGTGGATCTACAGATGTTAGTAGTGCTGAAGAAGGGATATTTCGTGTGCACCGTTATCAGGAACAATTCGTGACAATATCTGATATTTGTTGTTTGGAAGAATGCATCATAATCCTGAATAATGCTCTGGTCAGACGAATACATTCAATTGATGAAGCTTCAAGCCAAATTAAGTAATTTTTTTTTCAAATCTTTATTGTTTTTTAATTGAAATTTTTGTTCTCTACCAATAATTCATAGACTTATCCGATGATTCAAGGTTTTTGTTTAACTGAAAAATAGTGAAGATGCTTTATTTTGTTTAAAAAATTCAGTTGCAAATTAATTAAAAGAGCGTGGAAAAGTATGGATGTTTACACAGAATGGTATGAAATACTTTGAAACTTTGAGTACTCATCAAAACATTGTGTTAAAACAAAATTGTATTACCTTTTTTCTTTTTAAAAAATATGCATGAATTTATCTGAGCAATTTCAGGAAGAGCATATCAGATCATGACATTTGCTTGAACGGTGATACATTGCATGTTACATTTCAGTGTGATACTCATGAAACGCACTTATAACAACAATTAAATACACTTGATATTTATATAGTTTAAATTTTAGAATGGAAATCAATTTTATTACTTGTTTGTAAAAATTGTAAATTGAAATCTGTAAACAAAAAAATATTATTTTATGCAAAGTATTCCATATGTATGAAAGTTTTCTATAAAGAAAGAAGGTTCAAAGTTCTGCATCTAAATTTATAGAAAGCGGAAACAACTCTCTATCATTGTTATACTTCTAGTTTGTTCATATATGATCAAAAAGCTCATTACTCTTTCGTTACCGTAATAGCATTTTGTCGTTCATTGTATTTTTTCCTTCATTTTAAATTCTTTTCGATTTTGTTTTATCGGTTAAAAATTTATTAGTGAAATTTCAGATAATTTTTCCGATTTATGATGGCTTGAAAATATAATAATATTAGTCCTACGGTTTCTTACATTACTACAGATACACTATATTCTTTGCACTTTCAAACTTAATTGCTTATGATGTTAATTAGATTAATTTGAAGTGTGCTATTTAAAAGGAGCGCTGATTAAAAATCATGCAGATTGCTCAACAGTAAACTTCATCAGTTCAAAGCCCCATTTTGTAATTTTAACTTTTCACTTCGTGCCGCTTTATCTATTGCTTTGTGGAAGGGAATTTTCCCCTTTTTCACTTAGCTTAAGATCTGGTATATTAGATTTTATCCTCATTAGAAAGCAACAATTGATTTCAGAGATTTTTTAGGATTTCGAGGATAAAATAAAAGTTTTCGAGATTCCACGAATTGGAAATTTTCTTCGGTTTTTCTTCCTTTTTTTGCAAAAAAGAAAAAAAATTGAATGAAATGCAAATTTTCGGATGTAGCCATTATAAAAGAGGTGCTAAAATGTTTGCGATCATTGTTTGAAGTTATATAAATCATCAATCGGTTCACTCGTCAATCACAAATGATCGTAGTGGGAGATCACAGTCATCATGACAGGGAACAGTTAAACATGGAAGGAGGTCAATCTAATTTTTTGTTGTTGAGCGTTTTAGATAGAATTACTGAAAGCATCTTATGCCAATACAAATCTATTACAGTAAGTAAGTTTACTAAAAAGTATTCAGGACAGAAAGGATCTGAAGGTGATGAGGAACGAAATAGGAAAATAAATTGGCGTCATTTTTTCATCGTCTGTTCGGTGCTTATTTCGGCTTATCTCATTAACGGTGAATATGCTCAAACAGTATGCAATATATGCACCACCGTACCGGCTGCTATTTTTACTTATGGACAACTTTCTGACCATGCAACTCGGGTTTTTGCTTATGTAAGTCTGAAATACTGTAAAGGTTACGTAAGCATGAGGTCACATACTGGCTATGAATTAACTCAGTTACTTCTCTAATGTTTAACATGCACTTATATTCGGTAGAGATTTTGAATTATTAGAAGTGAATGAAAATATCTGAGCTATACTCGATAATTAATAATGATTTCAAAAGAAAGTGACCAAAAAAAAATGAAGAAGAATAAATAAATTTCTGCTTAAATCGATAAATATGAAAATAAAGCGGAACTTGAAAGAGTAATTAAATAAATTTTGAATTCAAAATTAATATTTCAGAAGGCAACGCTTTTCTACTGGTCAATTCATGGAATTTTGGTTGCATTTGATAGCATATTTGTGGATGCATTTGGATATTTCTTCGGTAAATTCATCCTTCTTGTCGTGCTATTTTTCAATGTCGTTTATCAGCACGATAATGCCAAAAGTCTTATGGAGCAGCAACAACAACAACGCCGTAATGCAATGAGTAATTCGATCGTTAGCACCAGAACACCTGTTCCTTTCCCAACTTCACCTTATGGATCACAAATTGGTGTCAATACTGCATTGACAATTACCGATGCTACGCAGCTTTCTGCTGAAGTATGAATTTATTGGGATTTTAACAATTTGAAATTTTAAATCATTACACATTATATGTATTTTTTATAAAATTTATAAAAGAAAGGAGATGGAATCTTTAAGATGTGTATTTATTTTAAAAATCTCTAATGATTTTGCAGAGTCCATTCAAAAGTCATCGATCGCTGCATTATAATAACCTAGCAACAGCCTATTCATTGGCTCACAGCCCAGAGATGACCGCCTACCTGGATACCTCTTACACTCACGATGGATCTCTAAAAACTGTTGCTCCTACTGAAGTATGCCATTTCTATTGCATTTAGTTTTTGTTAGAATTTAAATGAAAATGAACGAAGAGATTTATTTCCCTTTTTTTCTTTTTTCTTTCAATCTTTAAAGCACACTTCGGCTCACTTTTTTTATATTGAAATATAAAAAAAGAAGTTTAATTTATCCCATTTTTCAATAAATATTGCATGCAGAAGCAATATGAATTTGGAATATATCAGCAAACTGCGCCAAATAATTCATCAGTGCTATCAGATTCCGCCGAAGAAAATGATCATTCAGAAAATGATGCTGTAAAATCGATTCCTGCTGGCGATTGCCAGGAAGCGGATAACGAGGCTTGTTTGATTCATTTTTGCATCAATTCCTATTTGTTTCCTAATTTGGCAAATTTAAAAAGTCCAAATAAATCAGCAAAATCATGAATTTTACATTCAGGGGGATGATTTACCGCAATATTCACCATCGACAATGGTGATGAAGGAGGACGAAGGGACTCTTATCACCAATCCCGATGAATATGTAATTGTTATCATTGCGTTATCAATGATATTTTAACACTTAACACTTTATTAGTATTGGAAATTTTAATTCTTCTCTTCAGATAGTATTTAATTATCCCTTCTCGGAAACGGTTACAGTTTATGTGAAAAACAAACACAATTGTCCAATAATGTGGGCTCTAAAAACTAATGCAATTAAACGTATAATTGCACAGCCTACGTGTGGTACTTTGGGAAAGGACGCTACCGTACACGTGAGTTTCAATTACAATATTTAAGAGCGATGCAATGTATCTAGTAAAATAAAAAAGAATTAAATTTATTGAAACATAAGTAGTTGTATTATTATCAAAGTAATCTATTGAAAAGTATGAAATTTGACCTTATTTTGCAAAAATAATATTGCTTATAAGAAAAAAATGAAGAAATATGATATGATCAATTTTTTTCCATAAGATACTAGTTGATATTCATTGAATCAAACTAAAATAGGATCATAAATTCCTTATTTAAAGATTAATGAAAAATGTATTATTAGCAGCTGTTTGATAATTATTTTACAGATTAAAATTGGAGTTAAAGCAGCACCATCTAAAGAATCCAAAATGAATGATCGTATTGCCATTGATTACTGTCTAATTGATGATGATACGGTCGGTTTTGATCGCTCATTTTTGTACAACACTGAGGATCCATTCCGTCGACGCAAAAAATTCAATATTTATTACAAAAACTAATAATAAATTGATGTATGCATACCTAAGGAGATGATAATCCGATGCTATTTATCATCAAATAAATAAAATCATATTTATCCATTTCTCAACTAACAGTTTTCATTCATTATTTTATGTTTAAAATAGAGGCGGAATTTTTTCATTCAACATGAATCAATTGCTTTTTTCAAATTAAATTTTAACCAACAATGAACAGTGATTAAAGTTCGAGGACATGTAAAAAGATTCAAAAAATATTGTGGATACATTCAATGCACTTTGATGTTAAGCCAACAGCAGAAAAAAATTTCTGCAATGTTTTCTATTTAATGTTCCGTCTGATGTAATCAGAAAGTACAAAAAACATATATATTTCAAAAAAAAATATCTGTCAAAAAGACGATTAATTAGTCAGTGTTAGGCAAAAGTTGTTTTATTTATACATAAAGATGAACAGTGGCAAACGAATGTTTGAAATTTAGAATTAAATATTATCATCTTTTTGTATCATTTCAAATACGAATTCAAACGAATGTTTGTCTTTCATCTTTTGGCTGAAATAATGTTGCCATTTTATCCGAAAAATCGGATGAAATGGATTCAGACGAGAATTGTCCCAGAAGCGTTCTGGAAGAACTCATAGAATTTTGCTTTTCAAAACTGTTTGTTTCAAATGGAAAATCATTAAAAGTATTGTCATTATTAGTGAAATTGATGGATGGTGAACGACTTAACGTTAAATTCTTTGATAATTCATTCTCAGGCAGATTTATAGCACAATTTGATTCTGTTATTAAAAAGTTTTGATTATTGAATTGCCCATTTAATTTCACGATTGGTGGACTACTTTTTGGAGAGATCGAAGATAAAATGGGACTTTCAGATTGTTTTATCGTGACACCGATAAGTTTTGTTTTCTCTTCCGATTTATTCTTTTCCCTCCATTTATCTGATTTATCTGCGGGATGCGTTTTAATATTTTTCCTGAAATGAAATTATTAAAATTTTTTTTTGTGTGGATATTTTTTTGATATTAATTCCATCATCTGAGCAGTTATTTATTCATTTCTAGAATAAATCAATAAAAAAAAGTTTAATCAATTATAGAATTAAAAAAGATTAGTTGAGATTTCAGAGGGCAATTATTTTTTATCGTATAACCGGAAAGGATTATTATTACCAACAGTTTATTGGCCAACAACAAAGCGGATTGCACAGACCATATTGACAGCAGGAATAAATAAGTTCGATAACTGTAAGGAGACTTGCACCGAGAAATAGGCCAAGTGCACCGCCTACATCACCTGTAATTAAGAAATAGTTGATATTTGCTTGTAATTTCAAAAGGGTCAATTCAATCAATTCAAATCTCTGTAAATTTACATGCCAAACTCCAAATACTATAGGTGCTCTCTTGTCGCCATGTTTCAATGTTCATCCGATGCAGGAAAACGTTTACCATCGCAAAATTTTGTCTGAAACAATTAATTTAATTCGAAGGAAATTAAAAAATGATTCGAATTAACTGATTAATTAAAAAAGAGAAGTCGAAATTTTGATTAGCATGAATGACATTAACGCCTAATACTTTAGAGCTAAAAAATAATTCAATTTCAAATAGAACATTTCACTTATTAGTCTTTTCCAAAGTTTTACTTATGAAATAGTATGATTATCTATGAGGAACGAAATTCTACAAAAATTCTTACTCTACAAATGCTGACCCAAAATCAAAATTGGCCAAATAAGTTGGTAATTCCTTTCGGTATAAATTTGAATATGCTGACTGCAAAATTTTTTTAAAGCTTTAACAATTTTTATTGGAAATTAAAAAACATATAATTTTTTTTAAAGGATTCTGAATTTTTTTCGTAAGCAAATAAATATAGACTTTTTTTCAGGACTTGTTGAAATGTATGTTTTATTTGTGCATTCAACAAATACTAGTCAATAAAATTAGATGATGAAAGCTAACAAAATTATACTGCATCAATTAATTAAATTTTTCTATACGTATCAAATTACGTCACATTTAAATGCATGTAATGTATGCAATTTACTACAAAATCTGCAATGCAATGTACCTGAAATTCATTCATCATTTTCTTAAATGAATTCAATAGGATGATACTTTCATTTTTTACATCACCAAAAGTACAATCGACAATATCGCGGATAAATGCACCAAATTGTTTTTTGTGATGCGCTGTTGTATCACCGAAATATAGCATCGAACCCATCTGTAACATTTTGCTAAGAAGGCATAAAATTTGCTAAAATATGATATTGAGCGAGGACTGTCAAAAAAATAACTATCATTGATTTGAATTTATGTTTTATTAAATAAAGAACTTATAAATTATTGAAATGAAACGAGTGAAATTACCATATAGGAAATTTAAAAAGAAACACTTAATTAAGTACCTGTAAACCTCTATCATTGTCAACAGCAGCCAATAAATTAGGTAATTCATTATCAGCCATATCAGCAATATTACGAACCAAATTTTCATCCAAATCTTTTAGCACTGGATTGTACCAATCCTACAGGATATTACATAAAACTATATTTAAACGTAAATATTTAGAAATTGCTTAATTATAATTACCAGACAATAAAATGAGAAATATTCATTAATTCTCTCAAATAATACAAAAAATGACAATACTTCGAAAAAGTCTTGATCAAAGAAATGACGCATATTTCGAGATTGCATTTTTTCCGCCCATGCACGTCGTTGTAACCTTCCTGATTCATACTGCAATTACTTTTTTATTTAAAAATGAGATATTTTAATTTAAATAAATTTAATTTAATTACTTAAAAAAAGATGAATGCAATAATATTCAAACCGATTCCTATTCTTCCACGAAAATTATTATTTAATTATGTCTCTTTTCAATTAAATAATAAATAAAACCTGTTTTGCCAAAAATAAAGTGGTATCCATTCGTTTAAGATTGATACCCAATGTTGATTTATAAAATGATGGAGTGTATATTTTGTGCAATTTGGTGATAGTATTAACGAATTTTTGTATTTCCTTTACAACTTCATCAAAATGATCACCAAAAGCTTCACGAAGTTGTACGACTGTATGAAACTTTGCACTATTCATATCTTCTTTTGGTTCGAGAAGCTACAAATAGATGCAAAAAGAATAAATAGTTAAAATTTAATTTATTTTCACATAAATTCTATTATCAAATACATATAAGCCTGGATGGTATATTTATAGGCTTGTATTTGATAACAATTTAAAAATTCATTCAAGACTTGAAATAAATTTAAAGGTAATGTACTCGATATATGACAGAAATTCGAGCTTCCTCAGTCGATGATGGTGGATTTTCAATGGCAGCAAACATTTTAGCATGATTGATTGAGAGAGCACTGAAACATTTGATCGATTCGTTTAATCGTTCGAAAGCATTTTGATACGTTTCATCTGTCCATCCCCAACCGTTATCAATTAATCTATAAAATACAATCCTTATCTGTGAAACATTTTTTATTTTGCAATGAACAATTTTTGAATAAGACTTTTTAAAACTTCAAAACTTTACTAATTAAATATCGTCATATAATTTTATAAAGTCGCAGCTTTTTTAGTAAAAAATACATTTGATTAATTATTATTTTTAATGGGTACATTTTAAAGAAATAATCAAAGAAAGAATATATATGTGTGCAATATTTTTTTATTTTCTATTAATAAAAATTAAAATTTCAATTTAGTCATGCGCATTATTGATTAATACAAGACTGAGTATTTTTAAAAGATTATTAATTACTTCTAAAATTAATAATTTGTTAGCACTAATTAATCTTAAAAGATAGTTGATTCTAAAATTAATAATTTAATGGAAAACAAGATAGAGCTACTTTTGTGTTGCTTCTCGTAACTTCCATATCATTCGTTTCGTTCTCAATCTTATATCTTCTTGATATCGAGACTGCTTTTCATAGGCACGCTGCGCTGCACGCTTGATTTGCCTAACCTTGAAATGATTCCTTTTTTATCGGCTAGTAAAAATAACTAGCTCAAAATAATACTTTCAAATTTTATATTAAATTAATACCTGTTGATTGCTCAGAAGTTGATTCTGTTCACATTGGAAATGCTCATCACGATGAAGTTCTATATTATTCCCCTTAAAATTTTAAGAATTTAAATCGATTAACTTAAATGATCAAGATTCTAATATTTGAATTCTGTTAAGTAGAGGCACTTTAAATGTGATATTGCAACTCAACTCAAAGCCCTCAATTTTTAATTAAAACCTAGCAAAAACAAATATTTGAATAGTTAACATGCACTCACTATTAATTGCTTAAAAGTCTTGATTTTTGAATTAATTATTCAAACCAGTTCTTGGTAATTAGATATGCAACCAAAATGCCGAATCATCACTTAAAATGTTATAAAAAAGCCAGTTGAGCCATTTTTATAAAAGCAATTATTATTCACATAGCAGGTAAGACCAGAGCAAACATCGATGAAAATCATTAAATTTCAAGTTCAATTCCATATTCACCAGATGAAACATATCACAAAACAATTTCATTGTAAAATGCATACTTACATCATTTTCGACATCGTAATCATCAATAACATCCTCCACATCATCTTCTTCGGCAGTATCGATCAACGATGGAAATATACTATTTGGTAATAAAGTCATATCTTGCCAAGCTGTATAATCAATTTGATCACACGGTGAAAGACAACCAAATCGATTGAAACTTTTTTTTTTACCGAATTGTAGAGTGGGTAGGGCGCACGTGAAGTATTGATCCACGTTGCAAAAACTGTACGCTGAAATTGTTTGCATCTTTGATAGAAGAAAGGATTAATAGATTTGAAGATGGACTACAAATGACTGATAAATATTGAATCTTTTTTTCAGTAATAAATAAAATATTCTAAATTCCTATCATTTTTAAATTATCATAAATTTTCTTTAAAAAAAAGAGAAAAAGGAATATGAATGATGAAGATAAAAAGAATGAAATTGAATTACCTCCGGGATTTGGATTATATGCTCGTCTCATCGAACATTTACATTTCTCTTCAATTTCATGCAAATATTTTCGAATAGTACAGGTGTGAATATTTTCAGGATCATCAACTGCTAGCATTGTTGTCCCGTGTTTCTCATTTTTCTCCACACATCCCGCACCCGAATATTTATGCCTCTAACAAAGATTGTTTTAATTTTCATCCATTCAAATTTAATACAAAATTAAAACGAAATTTTTTTTTTCATTATAATAACTTTTTTTTTTTCAACAAACTTTCCATCATATTTTTATGAGAGTAAATATTTAACAAAAAGAAAAAAAAGAAGGTTGCCTTTTGCATTTTAAATGGAATCTCCATCGTATATCCGGGAGGGACATTAACACCATCAAGCGATGAATCTGGTATGTCTGTTTGATTATAAATTAAAATTTTTAATCCTGGAAGGCTCGTAGTTCGAAAATACGGCGTACAACTTTCCACTCGCTCATACCGCTCAATATTTAATAACAACCTGAGACCATTGTCAGAACCTAAAATTAAAAGTTATGTAAGTATGCTT